AATCGAGTTGCTACTCCACATGCGGTGACCGGTGCCAAGCTAGCAGTTGCTACACTCCGCTTGCCGTGTTGCTATACACACTGTTTACAACCTCTCCATCGGTGCAGAAATCGAGTTGCTATACTCCACATACATGCGGTGGCCGGTGACAAGCTAGCAGTTGCTACACTCCCCCCCCCCCACCGAACGAGGCCGAAATCGAGTTGCTACACACAAACTTCTGGGACGGTTGCAAGCTAGCAGTTGCTATACTCTGCTTGCCGTGTTGCTACACACACCGTTTAAAACCCCCATCGGTGCAGAAATCGAGTTGCTACTCCACATGCGGTGACCGGTGCCAAGCTAGCAGTTGCTACACTCCGCTTGCCGTGTTGCTATACACACTGTTTACAACCTCTCCATCGGTGCAGAAATCGAGTTGCTATACTCCACATACATGCGGTGGCCGGTGACAAGCTAGCAGTTGCTACACTCCGCTTGCCGTGTTGCTATACACCCCGTTTACCGCCACCCCCCCCCACTGATGCCGAAATTGAGTTGCAAAACTCAACTTGCTGCGACGGGTGATAAGCAGGCAATTTAATTGCTCCGCTCGCCGTGTTGCTATTCACCCCGCGTACCACTTCCGTCGCCGACAGTGAAGTTGCTATACTCCGCCTGCTGTAATGTATTGCTCGGATTGGCAGGTTGCTGTACTGCTATGCAAATGCAGAAATTGCATGGTGTTTGTAGTCAATCTATTTGCGCAAGTCAGAAGTTGCTTGCTGCATTGCTGCGTGTTGACATACACCCCGTCTACAACATCCATGGGCGCAGACATCGAGTTGCTATACTCTACCTGCCGCGACGGGGATAAGCTAGCAGTTGTTACACTCCGCTGGCCGTGTTGGTATACACCCCACTCCCCACCCTCCGTCGCAGACATCGAAGTGCTATACTCCGCGTTCTGTGATGTTACGCAAGTCAGAGGTTGCTATACTTCCCATTGCTGCGCGCTAGGGCGACGTAGCGCAGTGCTTACCGCCCGTCGGTTTGACCAGTTGGATGTTACGATATTCTAATTGCTGTGTTGCTATTCCCCCGTCTACTCGCGCCCTGTACTCCGGGTGCTGTGTTGCTATACACCCACCCCGCTCGCAAAAGAGGCAGATATGCATGGTGCTTGCCGTCAATCTATCTGTCAGAAGTTGCTATACTTCCCCTCGGTCCATGAAAAATCGGAGTTGCTATAACTCACCTGCTACGGTGTTGGTGCCAGTCAGCAGTCGGTATTCTCTGCATGCGGTGTTGCTGTTCACCCCGCTTACACTCTCCGTCTATGGCAATTCGGAGTTTCCATACTCCAACTAATACGACGTTGTGGCAAGTCAGAAGTCGCTCTGTTATGCTTGCCGTGTTGCTCGAACACCCCGCGTACACGCGTCCGTCTATGCACAATCGAAGTCGCTAGATGCCAACTGCTCCGGCGTTGAGGCAAGTCAGAAGTCGCTATACTCTGCTTGCCGTGTTGCTATGCGCCCCGCTTTCATCACCCGAGTCAGCAGTTGCCCCAATCCAATTGCGGTGTCGCCATACACCCGGAGTAGGGGAGCCGCTTCCAGCCCTCCTTCGCATAGTAGACTATGGACGTACAGTATTGCTTTCGGCGTAGCCAGATGTGGTGAATTAAGGTGCTGGCCACCCGTCTCAACTTATGCAAGTCAGAAGTTGCTGTGCTTCTGGTTGCTGCGGGGCGTTCGGTATCTCGTGTGCATTACCCAATTCAAATAATCAGTTGCGGTACTTCGGATCGCTGCGGTGCTGACCGCAAATAAATGTTGCACGGTGTTTGCCGTCAATCCATCTTGCAAGCCAGAAGTTGCTGTACTGTCGTGCTGCGTTGTTAGTCTACACATCCGACCGTTAGCTAGCGGTGGGTCGCTACTACGGTAGATCTATGCCTCACTCCGTATATGCAAGTCGGAGGTAGCTGTGCATCCGTGCTGGGTTGCCAGGTGTACAATCGGCTGCTAGCCGTTGTGGTGACGGTGCTTGCTGTCCATCTCAATAATCGTAATTCCGAACACTGTGTTGACACCCGGCCTCTGTAAGCCGACTTCCAACCGTTGTGACCCCGGTTTCTTCAGTCTGGGCCGTAACTGTTGGCCGCTGCACACCAAGATCGGGGTTGCGACACGCGGGGCCGTTGGACAGACGTGCCATGCATCCGGCTGCTAGGCCGCCGCTCGTCGCTACATAGTCCGATGTTGGGCGGCGCTTGTCGTCGACCCATGTACGCCAGCCAGAAGTGGCTGTTCATCCGATTGCCGTGTTGCCCTACACCCGACCGCTTCCCAGACATGGCGGCGGTTCTGCCGTCCCATCTCAATTGACGCAGGTCAGCGGTGGTTATGCATCTGATTGCTGTGTCGCTATACATCCGGCCGCGGCCCAGGCGCTCGCCAAGAACCAGACATGGTGCGGTGCTTACCGCCAATCCATCCGCTCGTCGGTTCACCGGTGTGGGGTTCCCCCCGAATGTTTCAGGTATCCCAGCGGCATGTGCCTTAACACCCGATGCTCGGCAGTTCTATGTACATCGGGCGCGGGTTTTCCCGACTTTTCGCATCGATTGACGCACACTGCACAAGCGCACACGCAGCAGCAGTGCGGCCTACTCCCTCACGTAGGAACAACAGCTCCGTTTGTCGTAGGTAGTAGTGGGCCCGGCGCTGCGTTGCGAGTGTCTGTGCTGTGCCATGTTTTCTCGGCTCCCAGCCTGGATAGTTGCATCGTACCGACGATTGCCTTAGCATCCAATGCCCGGAAATACATAAATCGGGCGCGGGTTCCGAATCTTTCCCATCGATTAACGCACACTGCACAGGCGCACCCGCAATAGCAGTGCGGCCTACTCCCTCACGTAGGAACAACAGCTCCATGGTTGCAAGTAGTAGTGGGCCCGGCGCTGCGTTGCGAGTGTCTGTGCTGTGCCATGTTTTCTCGGCTCTCAGCCTGGATAGTTGCATCGTACCGACGATTGCCTTAGCACCCGATGCTCGGATATACATAAATCGGGTGCGGGTTCCGAATCTTTCCAATCGATTAACGCACACTGCACAGGCGCACCCGCAATAGCAGTGCGGCCTACTCCCTCACGTAGGAACAACAGCTCCATTTTGCATGTAGTAGTGGGCCCGGCGCTGCGTTGCGAGTGTCTGTTCTGTGCTATGTTTTCTCGGCTCTCAGCCTGGATAGTTGCATCGTACCGGCGATTGCCTTAGCACCCGATGCTCGGAAATACATAAATCGGGCGAGGTTCCGATCCTTTCCCATCGATTGACGCACACTGCACAGGCGCACCCGCAATAGCAGTGCGGCCTACTCCCTCACGTAGGAACAACGACTCCGTCGTCGTAGGTAGTAGTGGGCCCGGCGCTGCGTTGCGCGTGTCTTTTCCTGGGCATGGTTTGTTTGCTCCAGTCTGGATAGTTGCATCGTTTCGGCATTCATTTGCCCCGAAACCTGCTCATCTGAAACTCGTTGGTGATCATGATATCTCGGGGTATACATGCGCTGTGTACACAGTACGCCCGACCTGCCTCGCCCCAGTCGCCACATCGAAAGACTGGCCTGGGCGGCACGATGCCAGCAAAGGGAGCACCGTGGATGCTCGAACCGTCACCGCATGCAGACATGGCTCGCCGGTGTATGCGCCGTCTTTGAACCGCCAACCACTCCCGAATCATCTCCGACGCACCGAGTCCTGTTCGACGCCGGCATCCAGTCGGTAGTAGACTCCTTCAATTGCGAGTGGCGACGAACCGCACCATGCACAATTTGCAGGTTTTCCCCCGTGTACAACTAGCGACAGCCCGCTCCGTCGAGGTCGCGCACATGGCAGAGGTCGGAGTGTTGTTTGGCTTGGCATCCTCAAGCGTGGGCGATATCCTGCCTGGGCGATGATTGCGTGCGAAGTCAGAAGTCACGTTCCTCTTGACCCATACACTTATGTCGGTAGATGGATACCCGCCCGTATGTGGATTTCCCGTGTTGGTGCAGAGTGCACTTGTTGGCGGGGTGGCCCCCGTCCGTGCATATATTAGCGCATGCGGTCGAAAGGGCGTCTAACATTATTCGGGCGCACACCGTCGAACTTGTGTTGAGGATTGCCAGAGGACATCCCCCAACCACGTGGAGCAAAACACCGTTGTCGTCGTCACTGATGTGGTCAGATGCGCGCTTTGTTTGAACGGCATCGGTTGGATTCACGCCTCCCGGAACAAGGCGGTAGGTTGATTACTTGGTCGATTCTCCGGGGAAGGTGACAAGATCGGGGCATGATGTCACGTGCGTGAAAGTGGGGTCGCCCGGTTGCCTGTTTTGTTCTTCCGGCACCACGTGGGCAAAACAATCTGCCGCCGTGTCGCTCTCCAAGGACTCTTTCTGTAAGTTGAACATGGCGTGTAACGAGCAACTTGGCAGAGGGGACGACTTTAACTCTACGTCGGGGCTCAGAACCTTTGGTGCCAGTCCGACGGTGAACACGAGCCTCACATTCACCACCAGCACTGCAGCTGTTGGTCGGGATCACCGCTAGGGACATTTGTGCAGTCAGAGCCAAAGCGGGCTACATCCACGCGGGCCAAGCTGTGGCGTGGAGCTTATCCTCCGCCAGCTTGCGTCTGCGGTGCTCGATGATGATAGCAGCAGTGGATCTTGAAGCGCTGCGGCGCAGGATACGGTGGCTCTTCAGGCGCAACTGTGGCCTGTCGACCAGCCCTCTTTTTCCATGCAACATTTCAGGGTAAGGAGGGCTTTGACCAGACCCACGCCCGGCTTAGCGTGAAAGGAGATGTGCCGATGGGGGTTAGAGACCGGAACTGATGGTGAAGAACTACAAAACATTGGGCCGTCCTTCACACGGCGGGGGGGCGGCGAACTATACGGCTCTCCACGAGGAGCCGTTGTCTCTGGCATTGGGAGCCGCCTTTGCAGCGTATGCCCCCCCCGTACGCCGGTTTAATCCCATAGCTGAATATACGAAAGTTTGGGTGGCTCAACCACGCTCCAGGTCAGTGGTCGCGAAGAAGACGGGACAAGGAAAGTATGGGTGGGACCACAGGCCGGAGCTGGAGGCCTCATCCAAAATCCAATACTTAGATTAAATGATCCTAGGCCACGAGCAATAATACAACAGTAAAATCGGGTCTGCAAACGAATTCAAATTCGGCACGAAAATGGATGTAGGCGTCTATCCCGGTAACATGTTGAAATTTGCATACAGCCGATCATTGTCTTTCTCCCTACCGTGAATACGCGAGAACACAGGGTAGAAAAGAAATAATTTCGAGACCATCCCACCCACCCTGCAGCTAATGTTGTATTGAGGCTCAAAGCCTCAGGATCATTTACAGATTCATTGCCGCGCCAACTGCAGTCGGCGCGGCAGTGCATCCGTGGGACCGCCGGCCTCAGAGCTGGAGGCCTCATCCAAAATCCAATACTTAGATTAAATGATCCTAGGCCACGAGCAATAATACAACAGAAATGTATCTTGTGCGACTTGTTTTATTCCGCCGCACCTTTCGTCCCGCTCTGTCTCTCCCTCTCCCCCCACCCCTCTCTTTCTCGACAGCAAGGTATGGTACTGCTTCTGCCTCTTAGCTGTTTCTGAACAGAAGTAATATCTCTGTCTCCGCTGCTTGCTGCAGTTCTTCGACGAGAACTAGACGCTCATCGTGGACCTGCCGCCGCGGTGGGCAACCCGTTTTCGCACACCTACCTGTTGTTCTGACGTCTCGATAAGAATTTCATACTTGCGGAGCAACCTAAAGAGTTGGCGCGTGCCCCACACCAGACGCAACGGCCCTTTGTTGTTCCGGGCGCGTGGCTATGTTGTTGGCAGATAAACCTGATGTCATGCAACTCCGGATCCTCGCACGCAATCGATTACACACCACAGCACCATCAACGATGGCTTTGGCCTTCTCGTTGATGCTTTTGGCGGGTAGTGCGTACCCATACTACTCTGCTGCGGCGACATCGACTCCTCTTACATACGTCCCCATCCACGGTGGACGCCGGTCGGCGTCCGATGTATGTACATAGTGGAGCACTCGAAACTCGACCTCGACGCGCTGGCGATGGAGACAAACGCCGATCTTCAGACCGACGAGGGATTCTCGGCTGCGTATGAAGCATACTCCTTCAGGGCGATTAGCCGGTAGGTTTGTGAGAGAGACGTCATCCTGACAGTAGCAGTTGCATAGGTTCCCAGGTCTGCTGAGCGTGCACTGCCGTGGGGGTACATAATATCGGTGAATGAGATCCGAACCGTCCTCTCAGGTGCGTCTCAAAGATATCGATGGACAGAAGAAGCAAGTTTGCGCAAGGATTTATTTCTGAACAGGCACGTGAGAGATCCGTGGGCTCATGAGAGGACATCTCAGTGTCATCACGGGGTGATGCAAGAAGATGGAGATAAAAGCAGGAGCAGGGCCAACCTGAGTAGTTTTGTCATGATGAGCGCTACAGGAACCAGGTGTAGATGCAGAGGATTGATCCGTACCTTGAATTTCTATATTCTTCGCATTGTTGCGTTCCGACAAAGTGCACAGACTGACACACACAATGCATTTATTTCCAGCTGTGTGTAGATACAGTAACATCAATGGTCCAATTGAATTATTTTTATTGCGTGCTCCAGCCCGGAAATTATCTTAAAAAAACGTCTTGAGGTTTGTGCGGCTAAATGTGTTGGCTCGCATTTGTCGTCCGATGGTTGGGACTGCATGGCACAGACAAGTGTAATGTTGTAATTTTGTTGGTTTCCCGGCGTGCAGGCAAGAAGATCGGCGGGCAGGGACGGAAAAACACGTTCCAGCCGGAACGCAGATGACGCACAGCCCGCCAAACGGTCTGGCTTTCTTTGCACCATGCATACCAAAGTTAATGAGAGACGTAAAACGTATACGAAGTGGGAAGCTCGCGTAGCGAAATAAGACACACGCAACACAGCACACACAAAACGCAAAAACACCGATGGACCAAAGGGGGGGGGCAGAAAGAACGAAGGAAGAGCTTCCTACTTCGCAACACAGCAGTTACTACGTATTCGCACGGGCAAGAATAAAGTATTGAATCTGACAATACGTTGATTGATGATCTGATGGGTGACGGACAGATCTCTGTTCACGCACCAGATTTTCGTAATACGTACTCGTTCGGCGCGTCTGAGATATGAGATGATGTATGTGTAGTAAGGACGGGTGTGGGTCAAAGAATACACACAGTGAGTGGCGGTGTGCAAGAAGGCTGGATGGAAGACACGCACCACAACATCAAAGCTCACGCATCGAAAGGAAGAAAGTAATAAAAGCAGTAAAAGATGTTGGTTCGGAGCGGAACACCACATGTATGTCTCGTCCAATTACCGTCGACGCGAATCTTACCCGTGTCAGAATGTGTCAGATGTAGCAATGCGAACGACTCCGTTTGCAGCACTTTTCACGATTTTGGCGGTGCGGATGGCCGTGCACGCGGCGCGCCCTGAGCCCGCGACGGCGAGGTCTTGCGGGGAAAGGGCGTCACGCGGCCTCCGCGAAGTGGAAGACCGAACGGGGTCCGGTGGGGGGCTAGCCGCGCCCCCGTGGAGTTTTCCGTCTCGATTATAGAGGGAGCCTTGTTCCTCCGCTGCACTGAGCGGCGTCGAGCTTCAGCTTGAGCGAGTACTACTTAATACTACCATGACCAAGCACATGTTTTACGTCGACACGCTGTATTTCAGTCAAAATATTGAAATCGGTCGCACCAAGAGAACACCGGCCGTGTGTTTTGCTCTGCAGCCCCCGCCCTTGCCAAGTCTTCTCCCCCGAAAATCACCTCTGCCACACCCGCCTCCTACTGCCCTGCCACCTCCAACCGAAGGGCCAAGCATCTTTCTCTCAACACACATCAATGAGAAACGACAATTAAGTTTCGGCCCGGAAATTTTTCGGCAACTTCTCCCTGTCGCCAGATGATACGTTTATCCGAGCCGTGCGCGTATGCCAGCCGCAGCTCGCATCTCTTCTCCTTTTGGTGCGTAATTCCTCAACCTTGACTTTCTTTGTGGAGTACCCCCCCTCCCCCTACCTTCTCTACCACTTAATTCTGTACACAGTTTGCACACAAGATTTAAGTGCACACAAGATATTTCGAAAAACTCAACACACCACAACCGAGCCCCACAATTGAAGCCCCGTATTTCTCTTTCGTCCTCGCTTAGCGTACCACAGCAAGATGTATGCTCTGCCTCCCTCTCGTCGAATCCAACGTCTGTCTCGCGTACGCCCTACACTGCCTCCTGACCAACTGTTCTACCCTCGTGAACAACGTGTCGGCGGCACTTGGCGCAGACTACGGGGCTTCTGACGGAGGCCCCCACCACTGGGACGATTCTCGTACCCTCTTGCTATGTTTCGTTTCGCCAATTGATGTTTCGCGGAACCTAGCACCGATTCCGACGATGGCGTCCACGATTTCGTGTAGTTATCCCTCAATGATTGGCGGACGGCCTGCTCTGCTCGACCCGATTGCTCCAAGCACGCGTTTATCTCTGTGTTTCTGTCTGTGTCATGGAAAAAATGCTGTACGCCCTAGCGCAGAAGAGGTGCGGCACCGTCGGGACTTGCGGCGGCGCGACGGTGTCACCGAGACGGCCGCCATCAACGACGACGTTCTGGAGTTGATCGTTGCTGGCTCCGGCTACCTATTGGAAGGCAAGTGCGCCGAGGCGGAGGATGCGCAGGGGAGGATCGTCCAGCTGATGGCTGTCTTGCTGCTCCAGGGCACCCTGAGGTATGCATGCCAACAACAGGTTTCACAATAATATCTCCATTGTCTTACTGTCTCACTCCCTCTACATGGATACCCGTGTATGGTAGAGCTACGTATGGTAGAGTTACGTAAAACATGCACAAAAGCTAGGTCACCAACCTCGACGGCCGGGATGCATTGGCTAGACGGAGACCAAGGCGTCGAACGGTTACGTGGCTGCCGTGATATTTCGGTTTCGGCACAATCGTTTTCGTTGCTGTCCTGCCCGCATCACCAACCTTGACCTACACACCCGACATGGCCACCGCCACCGCAGATACCTCTACCGGGCGGACCCAGCCAGCGACTACGACGGCGACGCCAAGCATTGGGCCGAGCTCTGGGCGTTCGCCGCGGCTATCCTGCCGCTCATCGACGAATGTTCGGCGGACGTGGCCCACACCGTCAGGTCCAACTCGGACATCGACAGCGAACACGCCCCGGTGTCCGCCGGCTTGGTCGCCGTGAAGAAGGAGCTCGAGAGCATCTACTCTTGCTTAGGCATGACGTGCGACCAGGTGCGGCTGGAAACAACGGGGTGGGGCGGGGGAGATACTGCGTGGTTATGTGTTTCTTGGGTGTATTTTTCGGGCAGCTGCAGGCATCTTCGTTTTCGAAGACGTCGGGTTGTGTTTCGTCCACGTCTTGACCATGGCCTCCCCAACAATATGCACCTCGTCACCAACTGCTGTGCAGGTCGTTGGCCTGTTGGCCGGCGATATGTAGTACGGCGGACTATGTCCCAGGCCTGGAGCCGTGCGTCGGGTCAGAGGAACCTCTGTCAGATGCCTAAACGGACGTTCAAGAAGTTGACGCTGGCACCAGATGAGTTTGGCCACCGGAACCCTACATGGATAGATGCAGAACGTGTTCATGTAGGCAAGGCTCGTCACGTGTCATGGGCTCCTTGCATCATCAGCTGCTGTACGAAAGACGCTTGCGCGTTTCAGACTATGCCCCCGGCCCTTTTGTCGCTTGGTTGCTTCGAGATGGTGTGAAGCCGCTCCCGTATGCGACCACAACCCAGCAGAGAAGCAAGAGAGGGAGAGTGGGAGGCACCACTTCCATAGTTGACTGTTGTACTCTGTGGGATCATTTAGCGTAAGTTGGATTTTGGATAAGGCCTCCTTTGCCGGGCAGAGTCCTCTCCTGGTATTACACCTTCCATAAATCTGCTTGTGTACTACATACCAGTCATAGAATATATCGAAAGGCCGGAGAAAGGAACGAAAGTTGGATTGGAACGGAGCCGCTATTCTGCACAGCGGTCGGATTAGCTTCACGGCAAGACTCATTCTCGATACGTGTGGCGTCGTCGACAGGACTTGCTTGGTTTTGTTTTGCTTTGAGATTCGTCGAACATGCATCACCGCCCCTACAGCCTTTGCTTCTGGCGTCGTTTTCTTTCCGACCTGCCCTCTTTTGTTTTGCGATGACGCTGCCGCTTTCTTCCCCTTCGTATGTTTGTTGCGCTCTCTGACCGTATACAGCGTGTCGTAGCAGCCTTGCTTTCATGTTTTGAAATAAAGCGCATTTCTGTTATGGGATGTGTGCAGTGATATAGATGCAGAATGTGAAAAATTGATTGCTGCATTGTTTACGTAGATGCGGCGGTAGCTTTGGGTTAATCAGTCTAACGTTTGGTAGAACGTTTGTTCGTTTTTTCCGACATATTTGGTCGTGCTGAATGTTCCGCGTCTTCGTTGTTCGGGCCACGCCCAAACAACGTTTCGTTTGGCAGAACTTAGACAGGTCTCTGGCTATGCACTCTCACATGATGCTGATAGATGGTTGGAAATATGGTCAACATATATGTATAAAAGGAAGAAGATGATACAAAAGGTTCATGTGCTGCGAGATCGACAAGAAGCTCTCAAAATACGAACATTTATTTATGGTGTCTTTCGCAGGACCAGAATAATAGATAGGGCGGTAGATGAGGGGAGCGGAACATACGATACCGGCGATGTCATGTTTGAAATTGCCACGCGACACGCATTGTCGATTGGGCGCTATGGTGCTTCTGCTCCCCTCTCTCTCTACAGCAGTGAGTATGTGTGTCCGCCACAATTACAGTAATTGTCCATTCACCCCGGCGGTAGCGCTGTTGGGCGCATCGTCTGGCGGTACTGCTGACGCAGCAGGGCGGAGTGTGTCGCCCGTTGGTGCTCTAGTTGAGGGCGGGCACAGCAGGGGCTGAAGTGTCCTACTCCCATGATATGATTGAGAAGGAAGATCCTACTGGTATTTTTTGCGAACATAGTACGGGAGTATTCTTGTGACATGTCAAAACTCGATTCAGGAGTTCCTCGAGATAAAGGCATCCATCACCAGGAAGCCCGAGTTTGCAATGTCGTGGGGGGGGAGGGAGAGGAGACGAAGAAAACTACGCGGGATGATCCGCTTGTATCGATCTGGTAAGCACAGCGTCCATGACAGGGATGACAACCCCAGGGGGCGTCTTGTACTTCCATGGAGTTTCCATGGAGCTTCACGGAGACTCCACGGAGACAATTACGAGATGTATTGACTGCCTGGGGGGGCGTGTTCGTGGCTTGAAAGAAAACTTGACGGACTCGGCCATTAGCTATTTTTAAGAAGCACGATGATCGCTACATGAACGAACCCGGTCTTCGCACCCAGAGCCACTTCATTCACGTTTATTTGACTCGGGGGGCGGGGGTGTACTCATAGTCGTGCATGCCGTAGTCGTTAGACCATTGACCTCGCATCCCTATAAAGCCGGGACGGAGCACGCCGGGTTCTCACCGGACCAGGCTCTCTCATCACCAAGCGCTGAACGCCGTGAGGTATTCGGCGAGTCGCATGAAGGGTGCGCTGCATCCTGCTTAGTTAGGGTGTTCGGCATCTTGTGTTTACTTCCTTGCGTACGGATGACAGCTGCGTATGACTTCGTGTATTTTCTGGTGCTTTCACGTCCAGAGACAGTTGTAAGCACTGTGTAAACTGTCTCGAGGATGCTTGGCCATTTTAACACAACGTGGTGCGATCATTCCCCTTGCGCGGAGTGAGGGCTCTCGACCCCGCACAACATGATCTACTCAAGGGGGGTGACTTTTCTGTTGTATCCTGAGTTCAATCCAAGGACCACTCAGCGTACGTTTTGTATTGGATGAATTCCTGCGCCGGACTGCTGCTGCTATGGTCCCGCTCATCTTTGCAATCGCCGTTCACTTGACCCAGCGAGACGTGTTTCACCCTACACACAACTTTCTTTCATCCGTCGCTGTACCGACTCCTCCGATGCACGCAGTCCCGCACATGTGGCAAGCTGTTGTTGGAATGCGGGGGGCAGGGGCAGATATGACTATCGTCAGCATAGCTCTGCCCGCAATCGCGACAGCTCACTGGTGTACGGAGTGAAAAAAGGGAGTGACCTCTATTGCGCTTACAAATTCCAAGATAAAACCGATATGACCCGTTGATCAATTATGAGTTGTTCCAAATTTGGATCCATCGGGTATGATCGGAATGATAGTCTTGCCTGCACTAAAACTCGCTGTCTGTGGTATCCCCAGTGTTGCTTTGAAATCCACCCAAGGAGACCAAAGACCTGCTGTGTGCTTGGCATGGATGGGGCGCAAGCGATGTACTGTGTTGAAACAAGGACAAATTAGAACTTGCAGAATGAGAGCATCGCTCGGTTTGAGGCAAACGACAAGCGTCGAACCTCAAGCAAAATGACCGGTTCTCAAGTGAGTGGTGGCCCGCATATGGGCAAATGCATGCTGCGGAAACGACTGCGTACTGCTATGTCGTTGCAATCGGAAGGCTTTAAAACTTGTCTTGCTGAATGATATGCATGTGGGGCACGACAAGAACCACCAGTGTTCCGTCTTGGTCGGTGTGCAACAAGGACGTACAAGTAGCGCACACCACCTTTTCTCTATTGAACTAGATTATGCGCCCGCATGTACGCGTTGCATGCATGCATGCGTTGCCTTCGACGCTCACGGCAGTCGCATCGCGCATAAGTCCGCCACGAGAGCACTCACGGAGACAGTTTCCCCAGAGGCCTGATGTGAAAGTGGACGATGCCGTTGAGCGCCTTGAGGAAGCGCTGTGCCGCCGATGACGATGCGGGCACAGCACACCATCCTTCGTGGCCTTGCCTTCCCTATTCTCCTAGACTGCTTCGTAGATTCACCGAGAGCCGCAGCAATCACAGAAAACATTATGTACTGTAGTAGCAGGAGGAACAGCAGCGCGCGCTGGTTGTGAGTGGTCATCATCATGTTGTCTGTTTCCGAGGATATGTCATATTCTAGTCGAGCTCGTCGTTGGCGGAAAAACGCTCATGATACCACTTGCGGCGGGTCATCGCGAGGTAGAACACAGTGTACAGAAGCACGGTGGAAGCTAAGAAGCTTAGCTCACAAGGGCGACGCTGGTTGCCGTTGGGGCGCCCATGGGCAACAGCACCGCTGTGTGTGCTCTGAGAAATTCAAATTCTGTGTGCAATTTTTTTAGAGGTCAGGGGGTCAAGAGATCTTCGAGTATAGTTCAAGCATGAACATGGTGCGTGCTCTACACCGAAAAGCGTGTGCTTCCCGTAAGGCTGCTGACGGTGTGCGGCGTGTGAAAGTGCACACAGGTTGCTTGCTGGTTGTACTGCTGTGCTGTATGAACACATGATGGATATGTTTATTCTGAGAAGATAGACCCCAACCGAAATATTTCTTGAAAATGCGACATGTTTTCTTCGTTCATCACTTTTTCGCCAGCACCCTTCGTTCTGCGCTCTCTCTCCCTCTCCCCCCTCGCCTCTCGTCCTCTGCAGCGGAACCATTGCTATTTCTGCCTATTAGCTGTTTCTGCACAGCAGTGTCTCACTCTCTGTCTTTGCTTCTTACTGCTGTTGCTGTTCTTCGACGAGGACCAGATCGCACCTGCTGCTGCGATGGGCAACGACGCTGTTTCGAACAATCGTTCTGACCTCCCGAAAAGAACTCGAAATAATCTTTTTACGGAAAAACCTTCAAAGAGTTGGCGCGTGCCAACCGACGCAACGGCCCTTTGTTGTTCCGCGGGCGCGTGGCCATCTTGTTTAGAAGAGATTGTCGTGATGCCCACGCAGCATATTCCGCACCCCCTCGATCCATTTTACACCACGACACCATCAACTATGGCTTCGGCCATCTCGTTGATGCTTTTGGCGGGTGTGTACCCATACTACTCTGCGGCGACATCTACTCCCTCTTATGACCCCATCGCAGGATGGACGCCCGTGTCCGATGTGGTGGAGCACTCGAAACTCGACCTCGACACGCTGGCGATGGAAACAAACGCCGATCTCCAAACCGACGAGGGATTCACCGTTGCGTATGAAGCATACTCCCTCGGGGGAAACAGGTGTGTGTGTGAGAGAGAGACGTAATCCTTACAGCAGTTGCATGGATACCCAGGCTTTGCTGAGCGTGCAGTGTTGGATATCGGTGAATGATCGAACCATCCTCTCACTTGCCTCTAAGATATGGCTGCATGCACAGAATATGCTTTCTTTTGTTCGGCCTTCTTCTTCTTGTTGTGTGACCCCGGCTACATAATACGTCAGGTAAATACGCCGGCCTGTAACCCGGCACCAGAATAGATAGATGGAACATCACATACACACATGATTTTACCGGATAACACTGACGGAACGACGTCTTTTCAGGCAGTCAGCCGGTTTGCGGGGTCGATGCTAATCATAAATAGAACCGAAAACACACACACGTGCTTCCCAGCAGATTGAACACATTGGATTTTACGGATTTACAGACATGTGTGAACTCATTGGTTGCAATTGCAAATTGTAAGAAAAAAAGGCAACCGGGAATTCCTTCCAGATCTTTGCTCGACATGATAGCATTCTTCGAACTTACTGATGTAGTTACACTACGTACAAGGGCTCCGGAGGCACGGGGCTACCGCCCCCCCGTACTGCGTTTGTTCCACCGCTCTCCGTGTAGGGTGGACATGGAAGTTTATGAGACACGTGTGCATAAAACGCATACATGTACGAAGCGGGAAGCTCATCTTGACCTGAGCGAAACGACACAGTAGCACAGCGGTAGTAGTGAAAATCAGGCCGACGTTTCATTGTGCGATGATAACTGTGACGCCTTCTTCCACAGTAACACCGATGGAACAAGGGGGGGGAACAGAAACAAACGTAAAGAATGGACTGAATATAAATTGTATCACTTCGTACTTGTTCACACAGGCAACAATCAAAACTTATTTATTCGTTCAAAACTTATGACAGCGAAAGATGATGGATGACGAATAAAACTCTCTTGACGCAATAAAAAACACCCACAGATTGTACAAAATAATGGCTCTCGAGCGTCGAACATATTGAATGCATGTATGTGAGGATGAATGTGGGTAGATGAAACACAACCCACATTAACTATTGAGTGGCGGTGCATGCAGGCTGGATGGAAGACACGCACCACAACACCACTGCTCACGCAAAACCCCGACACGAAGAAAGAAAGTACAAGTATGACGTTCGTTCGGAGCGGAACACCGCAGTGTCTCGTCCAATCAGCGTCGCGAATCTTAACCAACCGTGTCAGAACACACAGAAGTACAGATGAAGGTGCGGACGACTCAGTTTGTAGCGCTTTTCACGCCTTTGGCGATCGATGCGGGCAAATCGCCATCCACGGCGGGCCCTGAGCCCGCGACGGCTAGGTCGTGCGGAGAAAGGGCGTCACGCCGGCTCCGCGAAGTGGGAGGCCGCACGGGGTCCGGCGGGAGGCTAGCCGCCCCGTGAAGTTGTTCGTCTCGATGTTCGAGTAGGCGTTATTCCCCCTCTGCACCGAAAGGCGAGCTTCAGCAAAATACATTTGACATACGTTCTTACCTCTCTCTACGAACAAGCACGTGTTGTAGGTTTAAGCTGCCGCGAGCGTTTTTCGGCGCGGGAAGGTCACACCAAGAGAATAACACCCGCCGTGGTTTATTCACTGCAGCCCCCCCCCCGTGCCGAGCCTTCTCCCGGATAATCACCTCTACCACACCCGTTTCTTACTGCCCCGCAACCTCCAACCGAAGGGTCAACTATCTTCCTCTCAACACAATCAATTCAACACAACAAACACAGCTTACGGCCCAGAACATTTTAGGCCACTTATCCCTGTATGTCGCCAAATGATACTTGCGGTTCTCCGAGCCATGCGCGTATGCAACCCTCAGCTCGCACCTCTCGTCCTTGGTGCGTCATTCTTTAACCCTTACTTGGTGGAGTACTCTCCCCCCCCCCCCCTCTCTACTATTTCGTTCTGTATACAAGTTTTCTTGACCACTACTGTACGGCTAATGGCGGATTTTGGCCCCACACATACTTTCGACGTCCACAACACTGATCAGAAATGACAACCTTTGCCTTTACGCCACAACCCGACCCTGAACAACTCACAATCAAATCGCAGCATGTACAGCGAGGACGGGTTCCGCACCATCCAAGCATTCTGGACCGACGCCGAAGAGAAGCTAGGTGGGGAGAAGTGGTTCGAGGTGTACCAGGCTTACTGGGGGGCACCCGACTACGCCGACCGGTTCACCTCGGCGGCCTGTACCGGGACCGGCAGTTACGAGACCGTCGAGCCCGTCGTCAGGGCCGAGGCTTGCACCAAGGGAGCACAGTGAGTCGTAACGGCCTTCAGTAAACAACACATACACGTCGCAATAAGAACGGAAAAGAATACATTCTCCTCGAGTACGTACTGTGAGAGAACATTGACAAGCAAGAGTAAATCATGCACCAGGTGCAAGTACATGGTCTGTTACGAGAGTGAGTAGTGTCGAATCTATTGCAATCCAGAACACAGCAGAGTTAAAAACCTGTGTTGTGGTTGGTGAGCGTGCTGCTCACGTGGTGTGCCGCTGACCCATCAGACTGAGGTAGAAATACTCACGGTGGTCCTTGAAAACTGAAATTCCGTGTGCCTTGAGCAAAACCTCAACTACTCTTTCGTCCTGCAAGGTTCTGCCTCTAAACTAGACCGGTCACCCCTCCCTCCAACAGGTACCAGAACGTGTGGATGTACGTCATCCATGAGATGGAGAACGCCGTCGGCGCCTGCAACCGCGGGGGTGAGACACGTTCTAGTATTCTTCCCCTACGTCGACGACGAAAGCAGGAGCACAAGAGAGTTAGAAAGGCCCAGATTTCTCCTTCTTCCTCGCTTAGCGTGCCGGACAGCCCAACGCTTACCCTGCCTTCTTCTCGTCGAATACACCGTCTTTCTCGCATACGCCCTACACTCTCTCATGACCGCCCGTCGTACTCTCGTGAACACACTGCCGGCGACACTTGGCGCAGACAACGGTGCTGCTGACGGAGGCCCCCACTACTGGGACGAAGCCTGGGCGTTCTACGCCGGCTCTCTCGAGGGCGAGTCGGGCAACGCCGACGGGGATGTGAGTATTAACAATGGACGGATTCGTGTATCCTCTCGCCTTGTTTTGCTTCACCAATTGTTGTTTCACGGATCCTATCACCGATTACTGACTATGGCGTCCACGTTTCGTTTAAAAATCCGTCAATAATTGGAGGCTTTCTGCTCCACCCGATTGCTCTGCGCACGCGTTTTTCTCTGTGTTTCTGTGTGTGTCAGGGCAAAATGCTGTACGCCCTGGCGCAGAAGAGGTGCGGCAACTTCGGGACTTGCGGCGGCGCGGACGGTATCACCGGGACGGCCGCCATCAACGACGACATTCTGGAGTTGATCGGTGCTGGCTCGGGCTACCTACTGGAGGGCAAGTGCGCCGAAGCGGAGGAGGCGAAGGAGAGCATTGTCCAGCTGATGACTGTCCCGCTGGTCCAGGCCACCCTGAGGTATGCATGCCGAGAACAGGTTCTACAAAGAATTAGACATCGTATCGCGACGCCAATGCCTTGCTACGTCTACCTGGATACCTGTTTATTCTAGAGTTAATACATGCAAAAAAAATCAGTCCACCTGACTCATTAGCTAGACCGAGACCAAGGCTTCGAACGGTTTTCATTTGTTCTTTGTTTGTCGGTACAATCGTTTTGATCGCTCTTTCCCTTTTGCCTGCAATTTCAACCTTCACCTACACACCCGAAATGACCACCGCCACCGCAGATACCTTTACCGGGCGGACCCAGCCAGCGACTACGACGGCGACGCCAAGCATTGGGCCGAGCTCTGGGCATTCGCCGCGGCTATCCTGCCCCTCATCGACGAGTGTTCGGCGGACGTGGCCCACACCGTCAGGTCCAACTCGGACATCGACAGCGAACATGCCCCGGTGTCCGCCGGCTTCGTCGCCGTGAAGGAGGAGCTCGAGAGCATCTACTCTTGCTTGGGCATGACGTGCGACCAGGTGCGGCTAGAAAGAACGGGGTGGGGGCGAGGCGGTATTGCATGGTTATGTAGTTCTTGGGTTAATTGTTTTGGCAGCTGCAGGCATATGTGTTATCGAAGAAGTATGGATGTGTTTCGTCCACGTCTTGACCATGGCCTCTCCAACAATATGCACCTCGTCACCAACTGTTGTCCAGGTCGGTGGCCTGTTGGCCGGCGACAGTACGACGGACTATGTCCCAGGGCTGGAGCCGTGTGGCGGTGAAGAGGAACCTACCGATTCCTCTTTCGACCCCATCGCCGGATGGACGCCGGTGTCCGATGTGGTGGAGCACTCGAAAATCGACCTCGACACGCTGGCGATGGAGACGAACGCCGACCTTCAAACCGAAGAGGGGTTCACCGCTGCGTATGAAGCATACTCCCTCGGGGGAAACAGGTGTGGGAGACGCAACCCTGATAGTTGGCTGGATACGCAGGCTCGCTTAGCGTGCACTCTGTTGGATGTCTGTGAATGATCGAACCATCTCTCGTCTCATGCCGACGCATTCACACAAGAAGGATATTTTTTGAGTTGTGAAAAGCAACAAGTTAGTTATCCATCCGGAGTGGGCTCATGAGAGCACAGCAATGTCATAACAAAGTGATGCAGGATGAGCTTCGGAGTAGGCGGCAGGATCCAACCGCAGCTGAGTATTGCCATGAGCGCTACAGGCACCAGGTACACGTGGATGCAACGAACTGTTGATGAAAACCTTTGCCTTCACGCCACAACCCGACCCTGATCAATTCACTACCAAATCGCAGCATGTACGGCGAGGAAGGGTTCCGCACCATCCAAGCATTCTCGACCGACGCCGAAGAGAAGCTAGGTGGGGAGAAGTGGTTCGAGGTGTACCAGGCTTACTGGGGGGCGCCCGACTACGCCGACCGGTTCACCTCGGCGGCCTGTACCGGGACCGGCAGTTACGAGACCGTCGAGCCCGTCGTCAGGGCCGAGGCTTGCACCAAGGGAGCACAGTGAGTCGTAACGGCGTTCAGTAAACAACACATACACGTCGCAATAAGAACGGAAAAGAATACATTCTCCTCGAGTACATACTGTGAGAGAACATTGACAAGCAAGAGTAAATCATGCACCAGGTGCAAGTACATGGTCTGTTACGAGAGTGAGTAGTGTCGAATCTATTGCAATCCAGCACACAGCAGAGTTAAAAACCTGTGTTGTGGTTGGTGAGCGTGCTGCTCACGTGGTGTGCCGCTGACCCATCAGACTGAGGTAGAAATACTCACGGTGGTCCTTGAAAACTGAAATTCCGTGTGCCTTGAGCAAAACCTCAACTACTCTTTCGTCCTGCAAGGTTCTGCCTCTAAACTAGACCGGTCACCCCTCCCTCCAACAGGTACCAGAACGTGTGGATGTACGTCATCCATGAGATGGAGAACGCCGTCGGCGCCTGCAACCGCGGGGGTGAGACACGTTCTAGTATTCTTCCCCTACGTCGACGACGAAAGCAGGAGCACAAGAGAGTTAGAAAGGCCCAGATTTCTCCTTCTTCCTCGCTTAGCGTGCCGGACAGCCTAACGCTTACCCTGCCTTCTTCTCGTCGAATACACCGTCTTTCTCGCGTACACCCTACACTGCCTCCTGACCAATTGTTCTACCCTCACGAACGTGTCGGCGACACTTGGCACAGACAACGGTGCTGCTGACGGAGGCCCCCACCACTGGGACGAAGCCTGGGCGTTCTACGCCGGCTCTCTCGAGGGCGAGTCGGGCAACGCCGACGGGGATGTGAGTATTAACAATGGACGGATTCGTGTATCCTCTTGCTTTGTTTTGTTTTACCAATTGGATTGCCATGAAACCTCGCACCAAATGCCGACGATGGCGTCCACGATACTGTGTCATGATATCTCTGCTCGACCCGATTGTCCCGCGCACGCGGTTCTCTCTGTGTTTCTGTGTTGTCAGGGCAAAATGCTGTACGCCCTGGCGCAGAAGAGGTGCGGCAACTTCGGGACTTGCGGCGGCGCGGACGGTATCACCGGGACGGCCGCCATCAACGACGACATTCTGGAGTTGATCGGTGCTGGCTCGGGCTACCTACTGGAGGGCAAGTGCGCCGAAGCGGAGGAGGCGAAGGAGAGCATTGTCCAGCTGATGACTGTCCCGCTGGTCCAGGCCACCCTGAGGTATGCATGCCGAGAACAGGTTCTACAAAGAATTAGACATCGTATCGTCCTTGACAGACGTTGGGGAGATTGTACCCCAACTGAAGGGGATCTCTGCATTGCTTTTAATTGGTCAGACTACAGCGGATACTCTGAGCTTGTACTCCGAGACCAAGGCGTCGAATTTTGAGATTGCGTTGTTTTTCGGCGTCGGTACAACGGTTTTCATCGCTATCCCCCTCCCTCCCGCAGTACCAACCTTCACCTACACACCCAATATGACCACCGCCACCGCAGATACCTTTACCGGGCGGACCCAGCCAGCGACTACGACGGCGACGCCAAGCATTGGGCCGAGCTCTGGGCATTCGCCGCGGCTATCCTGCCCCTCATCGACGAGTGTTCGGCGGACGTGGCCCACACCGTCAGGTCCAACTCGGACATCGACAGCGAACATGCCCCGGTGTCCGCCGGCTTCGTCGCCGTGAAGGAGGAGCTCGAGAGCATCTACTCTTGCTTGGGCATGACGTGCGACCAGGTGCGACTAGAAAGAACGGGGTGGGGGCGAGGCGGTATTGCATGGTTATGTAGTTCTTGGGTTAATTGTTTTGGCAGCTGCAGGCATATGTGTTACCGAAGACGTCGGGAGGTGTTTTGTCCACGCCTTGACCATGGCCTCCCCAACAATATGCACCTCGTCACCAACTGCTGTCCAGGTCGGTGGCCTGTTGGCCGGCGACAGTACGACGGACTATGTCCCAGGGCTGGAGCCGTGTGGCGGTGAAGAAGAACCTACCGAACCCGCGGCCTCGGGGTGCTACCGGGACGCCAAGGACGACCGCCGTTTGGCCATGGGCCCAATGAGCAGCCGCGACATGACCCCAACCGTGAGCATCCTCTCGCCTGTTGCTTGCGGCTGGCAGCAACCAGAAGGCTGGACCCAAGACGTTTGACGCTGCTCCTTCGCTCCCAGGGACGCCCAATGGATGACTCGCCTGAAACCTGATGTTGATTTTGCAACCGCTGTGGTCGGGAAGCTGAATAGCTTTCGACTAGGCGAAGCCTTGGTGTACACCACTTCACCCTTGCAGCGTCGATGCATTTTACTCACGTCGTCTTCTGTATGCTCCAGACGGTCACCTCGCGCCCCTCTCTCTTGTTGTTGTCGTCCTCGTCGCAGCTGTGCAACGAGTACTGCGCCGGCCAGTACGCGTCGTTCTACGCCGTCCAGTACGGGCGAGAGTGAGTACCTGCCCCCCCCCCTCCTCGTGGTTGTGTTGTCTTGTTTCTTTATGCGTCGTTGGCGGGTATGGATTTTCGGCGGAGGGTAGGGTAACCTTGTCAAACAGTGAAAAACGTTGTTGACGTGGCCGACGTTTCCCCACGTTATTTAGTTGTTCGTTTTGCCCGTGGTTTATGGCGTCCGTATTCCACAACACTCTGTCGATCAGTGGGTGTAGGCGTTCGACTGCAGTAGTGTCGTACCATCGCCAGCGTCGCCGAAGAAACGCCTAAGTTATTCTTTCAACCAGGTGGGAGATGTCGCTATAGATGTGACTGCGACCGGTACGTATATGGACAGTGATGGCGCTGGGTGCCGCTGACATCTATCGTGAATACCGAAATCCCTGGATTATACGTGTCCGTTTGTCGACGAAACACGCGCTTTTCATGGCAGATTTTCATACGCAATCGTGAGTTACTTGATTTCGACCACGTTTTTTTCATACTTCCTTCTCGAACTGCATGTTGTCCCTGCCGAAAACTGTGCCCGCAGGTGCTGGTGTGGAGACGACTCCACCGACTACGCCAAGCTCGGCGCGCTTGACATGACGGAATGCGCATACCCCTGCACGGGAGACGGTGATCTGACCTGCGGCGGCTTCGACTCCTTCGAGATCTTCTCGCTGCCGGCAGAGACGTCTCAGGGGCACCTCGGCTGCTACGCTGACGAGCAGGACGACCGCCTGTTCAGGGCCGACAAGATCAGGCTCGACGAAAACGGCGTGGAGGTAAAGCAACGTTCGGCGATAAATATCTGGACGAAAACATCTTTAATCGGAAAAGGCTCGAGTGATCGTACCTTGTTGTATTATGCCGTCCTTGCATAAATGGCCGCCAGATGCCTTTGTCGAGATTGCGTTTGGCATCAAAACCCGGAAGACGCTCCGAAATGCGGCAAACGAGGTCCTCATTCTCTTGCGCCGTCTGCATCTGATGATGTTGGCAAGTATTCTCGCTCTTTGCGTACACGATAACGCGGCCACCATCGTCATTATTCCACTCCGGGCCGGCGCTTACCGCAAATGCCCGTCAATGGTGTTGATTGATGTCTCGTCCAGCAAAGGTGGTGAGAACCCGCCGAAGAGAGCACCTTCTCAGTTTACGTTGTAGTGCTCCTCGTTGTGATCGTCGATAACCTCTTCTATTTTATAGTCGTTAACCAGTTTCATCCCACGTTGGTTCGTTCATCTCGCCCGACAGGCCTGCCGGGCCGCCTGCAGCGGCTCCCCGCTCTTCGGCCTGCAATACGGACGCGAGTGCTGGTGCGGCACGGAAGACGAGGACTACACTAAGCACGGCGCCTCTACCGACTGCGACTACCCCTGTAGGGGCAACGAAGACTACACCTGCGGTGGATTCGACGCCATGAACATCTTCGGTGAGCACACCTTGTATATAAGACTCGACGCGCGTGTCACACAGCCACACCCAAGTAACCAGTACATCGCATGCCGAGCACGCTCCTGTTTGGCGTGGGTTCATGAACAATGTTTTATTGAACCCCGATGCATCCGATCAATGCCCCTCATTCCTAGCTATCTCTTCATCGGGATGTGTTTTCTTGAACGCGACAGTGATTCAGTGCTTATCTGCTCTCGCTCTCTGCCCTGACCACTCCAACCTACCGGGAAATCCCTTGTTTGCTTGCACTTGCCACGATCCATGCCTTTATCAGAGGCCTAAACGGACGTTCAAGATGTTGAAGCTGAACTTGGCCACGGGGAGCCTACATGGATAGACGCACAACGTGTTCAAGTAGGCAACGCCCACCACGCGTCATGGGCTCCTTGCATCATCAGCTGCTGTGCGAAAGACGCTTGCGCGTCATAGACTTCATATGCCCCCGGCCCTTTTGTTGCTTAGTTGCTTTGAGATGGTTTGAAGTTGCTCCCATGCGACCACAAGCCAACAGAGAAGCAAGAGACGGAGAGTGGGACAGGGCACCATTTCTTTTTTGACTGATGATGGACGTTCCATAGGTTCTACTTGTATCACCAGCGGTAGGATATGTATTCCAAAGAGGCGGGAGAAGCTTCACGGCGAGATTATCGCTGAAGTACTGTCGACGACGACAGGACTTGTCTCGTTATGTTTTTTTCCTTAGGTATTTGTCGAACACGCATCACGGCTCCTACAGCCTTTGGTTGTGGTGCCGTTTTCTTTTCGGCCTGCCACATCGTGTACAGAGGCGCTGCCGCTTTCTCCCACTGCGTAGCACGCATTCCTCACAAAGCGCACGTTTGAGCTTTCGAAGGATACGCTTTTCGGTCCGTGGTCGTGCCCCCCGCCCGCCCCCGGACTTTTTTTTTCTGTCTTCAGCGTCTGCCTGGACAATCGCCGTGTGTTTTGTTGGGCTCTATGGCCGTACACAGCATGTTATGGCGGCCTTGCTTCATCGTGTTGAAATAACGCGCATTTCTGCAGCAGGGATGTGTGTAGTAATAATGTAGATGCAGCAGCTGTATGATTGATTGCTTTGGTATGCAATGATACGTGGATGCGGCGATAGTTTTCCAGTGTTGAGGTTGAGGTAACGTTTGGTAGAACGCAGACATACGACGAGTTTATAGCGAGGAGCTCGTGAACGAATAGTTGATCGTAGGAAACTGTAATTGTAGCGAGAGATCACGAGGTGTTGCGAGCCCCACGAGGCTGGCTCCCAACTATCCCTCAACATCTCAAAACTCCGCAAGCTGTTATGCGAAGAAGACTGAAATGAAGTACAAGTCCCAGAAGCGGCATATTGCAACAACATCGACTTCGGTCACTACCTCAATAGACTTGGGTATCTGGAACAACTGCGAAAGGCCAAACCGCGTGTAGACGACCCGTGGGTACAGGGCACTTCGACACTACACATTTCTACATCATGGTATCACTCCTGCTGCGCAACTAGCCTGTCTCTTTTGTTGGGAGTGTTTGCTTCTGGATAGCTGTTTTTCTTCTGTTCTGAGTGGTTGCATTATGATCCTGAGACGGGGGGAGAGAGAGAGAAAAACAGAGAGCGACCATGTGAAGAGGTCATACCTGAACGAAAACTTCTTTGTGAGTTTCTACAGAAACGGCGATTCGTTATTTTACAGTGAAGAGCACAGGAAAACGCCCACCGACTTATGAACCGACCCGTGACTGTACAACAAGGTGACACGTGCGTGCGTATCCACTCTGATCCATCTTGAGTGATCGTGAGTTGCACACATTTCTTAGGGGAGCCGTGACTGTACAACAAGGTGACACGTGCGTGCGTATCCACTCTGATCCATCTTAAGTGATCGTGAGTTGCACACATTTCTTAGGGGAGACAGTTCACTGGGGCTAAAGCCAAATGTAGCAGTGAAGCCAACAACTACAGCTTGTAACACTGCTGTAGTGTATACAATGTAACACTGCTGTAGTGTATACAAAACCGTATTCTAGTCTACACAAGTAGTTAGAAATCAGGTTCGTTTTTTGAAGGGTTTACTCGGTAACGATTATTTAGGCGGACACGTTTTCGGCGGTAATGCCATTTGCCGGTTTTCGTTTTTTTTCCGGACGGCAATGAGTATTTCGGCGGTGATGACTTCTTTGTGGAGGAGGCGTTAAAACCAAAAAAAGGCGGAGTTTTTGGGCGGTAACGCCATATAGCGGTAATTTTTTTGGCGGACGGCGCGTTTTTCGGCGGTAATGACCTTGGAGGAGGCGGTAATTTTTCGGCGGTAAAGCCATACGGCGGTAAGTTTTTTGGCGGGCGGCGGTAATGCGTTTTTCGGCGGTAACGACCATGGCGGAGGCAGTAAAACAAAAAAACGGCGGTGAAACCGCGGATGACCGGGACCGCCCATCAGGGCGGTAATTTGACGGCGGTCATGAGGGCTATTGTCACATCTATATGGCCACAACTTCAAGCGACACCAAACAAGGCCGTAAGTGTGGTGCTGAGTTACGGCGCCAGAACAGATGGCAAACCTCCTTCCCGCCGAAGATTGATCAAAAACTACCGTTGATTTTTTGTCGTTCTCACCAGCTTTCACATTTCAGAGTCAGTCCGACCTAAAAACATGAAAACATAAAAACACGGAAACACGTTACTACAGCGTAAAACGAAAGTTACATTGCCTGCGCGACACGACCCACACGATCATTCATTCGTGGTATCTCATTGTGTTATGGAGGAACAGAGAAATAAAAGAGGGAAGGGAACAAGCTCGTTGCTCCTGGCTTCGGGTACTCACAGTTGTTGTTTGATCTCTTGTTTAGCCTTCTTAGACCACGTCCGCTCAGCGCCCACTCGGAGAGTGAGGGAGCGGGGCTGGGAATTCGATCTTCCTTCAAGCTACTTCAATACCCCTCAACGTCGCCAAATATCCATATCCAAAGAAAATTCAAAATATCCAATAAGCGCTCATACAACGTTCGTTCATGAAATGCTCGTGCAATGCAAATACACTAGTTGCTCCATTACATTAGCCCACCCTGGGAAGTCGTAGATGCAGATACTTTATCTTCAATCCAATACTCAACCTCAAATAAAGATCGAAGATGCGACTTTCCAAATCAGACAAAATAAGATAAAATAAAAGCAACTAGGGTCGGAGGAAATAATAGTTCATCCCCGACAAATACTCCAAACCATCCCCACACCACGCAGTGATGACTACTGAGAATCACATCGCCAACGACGGAACCAATCTGAATCAAAATGGGGTTCGGTCGCGTTGGGCACGCAAAGGTCGGGGTGACTATTGCAACAATGGAAGAAGCTCACACCACCCAAACACGCGCTATTAGCATACCACTGCATACGATGTAGAACAAAACAAAAAAAAACATGTAGCGGCCCGTAGGCGGCATTATATCAAAGCACAGATAGATCCAGATGGGGCAACAGCCAGCTGTGCCACAACGCCTGGTGTTCGCGACGTAACGCCATCATCCGTGGAGGGATTGGTCAAACCACGAGTACGGTGTTTTTGCAAGCACCAAGAACCACAAGGAGCATCCAAAAACAAACGTGGAGTAACTATACTCGGGAGAGAAAGCTTTCGAGGGCCGGGGGTGTCCGAAAATCGAACAATGTATGTACTGGCCTGTCACGAAATTACTAATCTGCCCAAGCCACCAAAGTCCATCCAAAGCTTTGTACCAAACGTGGGCTCCGACGGGCAAAACAGAAACAGAGAAGCGAGCCAACCAAATGTCACGCGAAACCAACTCGTACCCAGGAGCAATGAAACGTTCGGCCTGATTCCGAGCAAGTTCTCGGTCGGCCGAAGCTATCCGAGCATTGCGATAAGCTCGGTTTCCTTGTACGCGCTGACTAGCGTTATCAGACCAGTAAAGCAGAATGTGTTTTCTGTATTCCTGCAAATCAGACTCCCTTTCCCACGACGGTGTCAACAAACCAATCCAATGAGTCAGGTACAAGACAGCTACGACACCACCGCGTCCACGTACAATTTGGTGTCCTGAAATATTCTCAACATCCAGACGACTAGACTCCGCTAAAATATCATCAGCAGTCAAATTATACGGGGGAGACTTGTTACTATACGAGTGCAAAACATATTTTGACAGATTGGCCGGCCTATACTTAGGCAGGTCATCCGTGTCGTATGGGTTGGTACACGGTTTGCACCGCAAGACGGAGACACGGTTGCGGGATTCTGGTCCCAGCATGTCTGACGGCAGGTCCAGGTAGAGAAAATTGCGCTCCACAGGTTTTCCATCCGGGGAATCCTCCGCTTTGCCCGGGCCAACAGCAAGAATTTTATACGGTCCGGTGTAGTTGAGCGAAAGCTTCGCTTTGAGCACCGAATCATCGGTGTGTTTCCGCACACCCTGCCGAATAGTAGCGGCAGAGTTGTAGACCCAAGCCCAACCACCAACTTCGTACTTCGGGATCTGACGCAGACCGTCCAACAGTGCAGAGTTACGACGTTCGACGCGCGACACCGTAATCGCATGTTGTTCCCGCACCAACGCATAAGCTCGCCTCTGGCGTTCAACCGCAAGATTGCAGAAAGCGAGCTGGTCTCGATCCAAACTTTGATGGCCACCCACGCTAGGGTGGTCCAAAACAGAAAACGGAAGACGGGGCAACCGTCCAATATGCACTTCATTTGGCGCCAAACCTGTGGCGGTGTTTACCGAGTTGTTGTATGCAAACTCGACATGGGGAAGATGGACGTCCCAATCGTCCTGACGCTCATTGACCACAACAGCAAGCATTTGAGCGATGGTGTGGTTAACACGCTCGGCTCCACCGTTAGTTTGGGGGTGGTACGAACTGGTGGTGACTTTCTTGATCTTCATCAGCCCGTAAATAGCCATGGACAACTTGGAACAAAATTTCATACCGTTATCCGAAAGAAGAGTCACCGGACAACCCCACAACGCCATGTAGCGGTTGACGAAAATGTTAGCCGTTCCCTTAGCGGTAAATTCCGCCTTGGTAGTGGCATACATATCCGCCCGTCGACTGAAACGGTCCGTAAACAAAAGTATATATGCATTCCCACGGGACGTGACCGGCAATGGCCCAAAAAAATCGACGCTCACTACAATACCCGGCGCATTAGGGAGGGGCAGAGTGAGCGTAGGCCAACGATACGTTTGCCGGGAAGTTTTGCGCGCTTGGCAAATTAAACAACGCCGAAGCCACCAACGAACGGACAAATCCATCCCAATCCACCAGAAAAATC